TTTTTTAAATTCGAGATTCTGTTGTACATAATTTTCTTTATTAGTGTAGAATCTTTCGTTTTAGTATCTAATTTTTTTTCTTTTTTTTTTTAATAAAAGGAAATGCTTTTATTGCTACCAAATTTTTCCTATCGAGGGAAATCAGAAAGCCAAAGACACGCATGCCCAAGCCTTCGTTGGATTCCCTAAAAATATGGTGAAAAGAAATCAAGCAAGAAAGCACCAGAGAGGGATTTGATCTCAAGAAATCCAGTTTGCTGCTTCACCTCGCCATTCTACTTCCTCACAAATCAGATTAGTGGTTTCTAAAGAGTCCGATTCGATCATCATCGTCAGCTCTATGTGCAAACCTAATTTCAGACCATCACGAATAGCACAAATTCAGCCAGACGGAGGCTTTAAAAAGGGGTAGGTATAATGCACGCAGGCCAAGTCAAGAAAAGGACTTCCTTACTTTATTTTGAATAATAGTCAACATGACGGGGAGCGCATTAGATATTTACCTAAACCGGTTTTTTTCGGCACTCGGTTCCCCTCGACTTTGCATCATCAAGTCGACGTTCAGTTTACTTTTTCGATTCGGAACTCTTAGTCGAGCTGATGGCGAGATCTATTTTTTGTTCGAGGTGAAAGAGAAAAATCAGGTGACACCCGCAAGCAAGAGTGATTTCCGTATTAGAAAGAAATTTCATCCACTCAGACCAGCGTGCAAAGAAACAGTCATTGAATTTTGCAACCGACTAGAACATGATCCACAGCTTTCTCGTATCTCTTACAAACTTGACAAACAGGTACCACGTCCATACCTTTCTTCCTTAGATGTTGCAACAAGCTCGCCATAAGAACATCTTGATTGATCTTTGGGGGTAAAGAGGCTTTCCAGAAGGATCTCCACCAAAGCTCCTTGTGAATATCACTTGTTAGAAGTCTCAAGTAATTGGTGTCTCATCGGCACCAACACAATCCCTTAACTTAGCTATATCTCATTGTTTTTGGAGGTTATAAAATCGGCTACTCTGGGCTTTTTCACAGGATCCGAATTTAAGACGAAAAGTGCGATTCTCTAGGAACCCATGGGTCTTCAGAAAAAAATAATAATAATAATAATAATAAAAAAAAAAGTTAAGGATTTATTAACCACTTTTAAAGTTCATGAACCTATTAAATACAAAATAAAAAATTTATGGACTTATCTTCTTAATTTATGGACCTATAAGACAATAAATTTAAGTATATGAACTTTATAGTTCACCTGGTAATATATCCCCATCCAAGAGGTTGTGAGTTCGATCATTTACCCCCACATGTTGTAAAAAAAGAATACAATATTTTCATTATGACAAAATTGATCACTTTTTTAAAGTACATGTGTTATAAGAGTATAGACTAAAATGAAATAAAATTGAAAGTAAATAACCAAAATAGATATCTTAAAAGTACTGAAACTAAATCTAACCGATATAAAAAATACATGAATCAAAATAATTATTTAGACTAAATTCTTTTAAAATGATGGCAAAGTTTAATAGAATGGTTTGATTTTAGATTTTGTAAATTTCATTAATATTTCATGTTTAAAAAATAAGTATTAATTTATAAAATAAGGGAACAATTTTGAGTTGAATGGTGGTTTATTCGTCGTTAACATGATTCGGAATCCAAATTATTGTTTCTTTCCCCTTTACAATTGTACATTTAACTAGAGGTTTAATTGAATCGGGTTGGGTCATAACCGAAACGGTCCGTCCAACTTACTATCAGCTTTTTTAATTTAAATTCTCTCCCTTGATTCGAAGGGGGAAAAAAACTTGTCAAGCCATTACAAGATTTGTATAGCATTTGAAACAAATATTGTTGTTCAAAAAATTCAAATTATAACATTGACAAACCTAATATTCAATGCAGTAAATTTATAAAATCCTTCACGTTCAACATAAACAGTGATTCATCCCATATGACTATACAAACAAGCATTATTCTACGATTCTCTTGAGTGAATGATGTAACTATCAAATTACATTCGCAATTCTCCCCTCTAACATAATCCTCTAATATTACAGGCATGCGTAACAACGCAATATTTACAAGCGGCCTAGAAAATCCAAGATCACATTCCTCTACTTTTTCAAGCATCCGAAGCTCGATTAGTGGACTTTCTTTTACCAAACCATCCTATTTTACTACTGGTAGCAAAATTAGGATTATCAAGTTCAATAGGTTGAAAAGTTGGACTAGAGTGACTTGTTTTAAGGAATGAGTTAAAGAAAAAGATGAGAGCGAGAGCGAGAGCGGGAGCGAGATACACCTACAAATGGAGTAAGCTTGGCAAAGTGCTATTGAGGTTGCCCTGGCAAAGTCTCTACACAGCTTGTCAAACGTGAATATGGTGAATGGAGCAAGCTTCAACCGCAGTAACTCCATTCGTCCATCGTCCCGTGCCCATTTCGATATTCTGGTGTGTTTTCCAAAGCACACCTGGGATGGAGATCGAAGTCACAGTTCTCGCACCAATATGACCATAGATTTCCTTCCTTTTCGCATCCATCGCATACATACGGGGGTCGAGATGCGAGGAAAAGTTGATGTTCTTCATGGAGTGTATGCTTCACCATCTGAGGCCAATTCTTTGCCATCTCCTCAATTTCCAACTTCAGCTCTTCAACACGACCAGCGCTGAAAGGATAAGCCTTAGCACCATAAGCTGAAATAAGCTGTTTAGCATCCTTCATCACCGTGCGCCCATCTGCCCCGATAGCAACAAGCACCGGGATACCTTCTGCTCGGACCTTCAATTTACGCATCACCCATGCTTTCCTCGGGTCCCCGAATGGAACAGCCGGCCACGGCATTCTAGAGAAAACGTTATCGAACGACAATTCGTCCCTATCGCTAGAGATGAATATCACTTCAAAACCATCATCCTTCTCCTTAATGTTGTCATATGCTGCAATGAGTATTGGTAGAAATGCACGACATGGTGGACACCAATCTGCTGAGAAGTAGAGGAGGATGTTCCTACCCGTCAGACTTGACACCAAAATCTGTAGAATAAGAAATCAAATTCAGTTATTTTATGCACCTAAGATTTTATTTTGTCCAATAGGAAAACAGAAACTAATTGCAAGGTTCAGACAGATCAATATATGACATTTATACCGGTTAAAAACTTAAAATACTATTTTCGTTCATGTACTTTCAGTTTTTATTCATTTTGGTCTCTAATTTTAAAAAGTGACTATTTTAGTCCATGTTTGCAAAATTTAAACACAATGCAACAAAAAGTCTTCTTTAATATAAAATTATGGCTACATTTCAAGAAATATACTGAGTATAGTATAGTCTTGAAATTATAATCGAAAAAATGAGATAAAAAATAAAACGAAGGGATCAAAACGATAACGTTTTAAAGTATAGGGGCTAAAATGAATGTTTCAAAAGTACAGGGTCAAAAATAGACAAAAGCTAAAGTACGTGGCCAAAATAAACAAAAGTTAAAATTACAGAACTAAAATAGTCACTTTTTATCCTAATGAATGTGCAGCATGTGTATAAAGAATCATATTGAATTTGAAATAAATTGCACATCAAACCAATGCAAAACTCTAACCTTGGCTCCATCTTTCCCAATGACATAATCAAGATCCCCCAAAACCAAGACAGACTCCAGAGTTTGAGCTTCCTCTTTTGCCTTTTCAACATCTGCAAGCTCTGCAAACTTCTCCTTTGTAAATGGATATGCCTGAATATCATGTTCTTCTACAGCTCCAACAACATTAGACTGAAGAGTTTTTCCATCTTGCCCGATTATAACCAATATTGGTAAAGTCAAAATCTCAAAATACCGAACCAGCTTATCGCATCTCTCATCTCTGAATGGTAATGCAAACCAAGGAATGTTTCTCAACCCTTGTTTAAATAACTCTTCATCTTGATCAAGGGATATTTGCACAATTTCAAATCTCTCACCACTTGCTTTCAGTTTCTCATAAACATCCACCAGCTTTGGTGTAAAAGTCATAAATGGTTCGTATGAAAACATAGAAAAATAAAGACCCACTACCTTCCCTTCAAGCTTAGCGATGGGTACCTAGCAAGTAAAAGATAACTAAGATTATAAATAAGTTAAGAAGTACAGATACTTCAATTTGGTGTGGAATACTCCAACGTTGGACACGTATCAGACCCTTGTTAACACAATAGATGTGTGTCAAAGTCCGACACTTGTTAAGCATAAGAAATAGACATAAATAGTAAAATTTACCTACTTGTTGACTTTGAATTTTTGTTAGTTAACTCAAAGCTACAAATACGAAGTTTGAATGTTAGTTTCTAATTGGTTTGGTCAAAGACCTAGTTTTTAGGAAGTTGTTGATATTTCTCTTTTAGTTGTAGTCAAGTATAAGTTGCTATTCTTATGGGTTAGTTGAGTAGCTAATTATGTGGAGATAGTTATCTTTATTTTTAGCATCATAGTATGTATTTATATGGAGCACTAATGAATGAAATGATTACTTCCCCACTTTCTTATTTCTCTCTCAATAAGAACAGCAACAGTGGTATCAGAACCTTAAATTCTTAAGGGATCTGTGAGTGAGGATTAGTGAAATATTCCTCAGAGAAACTAAGTGATACACCTGTGAGCGTTTTGTCCAATGGAGTTAGGATCAAACAATCTTTCTTCACTGGCTCCACCTGTGTTTGATGTTGAAAACTATCAAGCATGGGCAATCAGAATACAAGCCTACATGGAGGGTTGTGATTATTGGAAAGCAATTGAGCAAGATTATAAAATTGCTCCACTTCTTGATAATCCAACAATGCATCAGATCAAGACTCACAAGGAGAGGGTCACCAGGAAGGCAAAGGCTCGAGCTTGCCTATATGCAGCTGTGGCCTGTGTCTCCTGCCATATTCAACAGAATTATGGTATTGAAGTCAGCAAAGGAGATTTGGGAGTTCCTCAAAAGTGAGTATGAAGGTGATGAGAGGATTAAAGGCATGAAGGTGTTGAACTTGGTGAGGGAATTCGAGAGAATGCAGATGAAGGATTTTGAGTCCATCAAAGAGTACTCAGACAAGTTGATCGAGATTGCTAACAAGGCAAGAGCATTAGGAACTGGATCTATCTAACAATAGATTGGTTCAGAAGATTCTGGTTTCAGTACTTGAGAGATATGAATCAACCATTGCTTCCTTAGAAAATTCTAAAGACCTCACTAAGCTCAAAGTGATAGAAGTAGTGAGTGCTTTACAAGCACAGGAGCAGAGGAGGTTGATGCGGCAAGAAGGAAGCATTGAAGGGGCACTGAAAGCTAGAATGCAGTAGGGAGAATATGGAAGAGAGAAGAAGTGGAAGAAGGGAAGTGGCAGCAGTAGCTCAGAGTCTGTTGTAAAGGATGCTAGTAGTGCATGCAAGCACTGTGGAGAATCATCCACACTTTAGATGCTGGAGAAGGCCAGATGTGAAGTGTAGAATGTGTCATTTATTGGGGCACATTGAGAGGTTCTGTAAAGAAGCAAAAACTCAACAGAAAGGAGGAGCACATGGCAGTACAACAAGAGGAAGATCAACTCTTTGTGGCTACTTGTTTCTCATCAGTCACTCAATGTGACAGTTGGTTGGTTGATAGTGGGTGTACCAATCACATGACAAGTGACAAAGAGTTGTTTAAGGACCTTGACAGGTCATGTAAGTCAAGGGTGAAGATAGAGAATGGTGAGTATCTTGAAGTAAAGGGGAAGGGCACAGTGTCAATAGAAAGTTGTCTTGGAACCAAGTTGATTACTGAAGTATTGTTTGTCCCTGGGATTGCTCAAAACTTGTTTAGTGTTGGTCAACTAGTAGAGAAGGGATTTAAAGTGTTGTTTGAAGATGAGAAGTGTCTCATTTCTGATTCTAATAGGAATGAGTGGTTCAAAATAAAGATGCAACACAAGAGCTTCTCATTAGATCCACTAGAGAAGGAGCAGATAGCTTTCAAGTGTCAAGTGAATGACGCTGAGTTAAGGCACAAAATATTGGGACATTTTCATCAAAAGGGGTTGCAGTATCGGCAGGAAAATGAGATGACAATAGGAGTACCAATTCTGGAGGAGCTTAAAACAAACTGCAGAGTTTGTTGCAGAAGTCAATCTGGAAAGAAGCTGAGAAACCGCAGCTCAGCCACACTGAATTATGTAGACCTCAACCAACTCTCTCACTGAATAGTAGCCGATGGATTGAAAATCAAAATGGTTGTAATGTCCAGGTGGTGAGGATTGATAATGGGACAGAATATACGTCGCAAAGATTCAATTCTTTCTGTGATGAAGATGGGATAGAACATCAACTCATTGATCCATATTCTCCACAGCAAAATGGAGTTAGTGAGAGGAAGAATAAGAGTATTATGAAGATGACAAGATGCTTGTTGCATGAGAAGAATTTGCCAAAGGAGTTTTGGGCTGAAACAGCAAACACAATCGTCTCTTTATTGAGTAGACAACCTACAAGGGTCTTGGAGAAGAAGACACCCTATGAAGTTTGGTTTGATACTAAACCAAAGCTAGCCAATTTGAAGGTGTTTGTAGCATTTGAGCCAGGAGGAGAATGTTAGTTAACTCAAAGCTACAAATACAAAGTTTGAATGTTAGTTTCTAATTGGTTTCGTCAAAGACCTAGTTTTTAGGAAGTTGTTGATATTCCTCTTTTTAGTTGTAGTCAAGTCTAAGTTCCTATTCTTATGGGTTAGTTAAGTAGTTAATTATGTGGAGATAGTTATGTTTATTTTTAGCATCATAGCATGTATTTATATGGAGCACTAATGAATGAAATGATTACTTCCCCACTTTCTTATTTCTCTCTCAATAAGAACAGCAACAATTTTCTTCTCATATCAAAATGATATGTACTTTAAAAAATTGTATAAACGTGTCCTTCCCGTATCAAAGTCCTAGATTTTAAGAAAATGATGTGTCACCATATCCGTGTCGTGTCATATATTTGTGTGTCTCGTGTTGCTTCTTCAAATAAGTTAAGAGTTTGAAAGAGCAAGGTTGAGCAAAGGTATTGGAACTCACTTTCTCTTCATTAGATGATACTACAAAATCACGTGAGTGAGAGAGCAGGATAGATCTCAAGGACTGATCCCTTTTGGCTGCAGCCTCTCGGCTCACCAATTGAGTGATTTTATCCAGTGTAAAAGGATACCCCTCAGCTCCATATTCTCGAACTATATCAACTCCACCATCAGTAGAAACTTTGCCATTCTTATCAAGGATGATAAGATGGGGTATTCCCCTCACTTTAAACAAGTCATCCAAGCGATCCCTTCTCTCTGCATCAGAAAATGGGACAGCAAGCCATGGCATCTTGGAGAAATACTCCTTGAAAGACTCCTCGTCATCATCAGCAGACACGAAAACGATCTCGAAATCGCCTTTAGAAGAGAGTTCATCATACGCTTCCACCAAACAAGGGGTGAATCTTTGACATGGGCCACACCAAGCTGCTGAAAAGTACAAACCCAGATTCTTCCCCCTTAGCATCTCAACCTGAACCTACAGAGTTCATGATTCAGTAATTAGTTCTTTTTTTCGCAGCTGAGATCAAGGCACAACAGAATCAAAGAAACCTAGCAACAAAAATGCAGCAGGAACACGAACAAGAAACAAGAAAGAACACCATAAAAACATAGTCAAACATCAGACTTTAGAATGAAAATAAATCCCAAGCGGACAGACCCATCAAAGTTCAGGCGCTCTAGAATGAACACAATACCGTTAACAAGCATAAACATCACTCCAAACAAGCGGTAAAATAACCGAAATCGGAAGATCAACGCAGGGAGACCACATATCAAACATCACAACCGCATCCCAGCCGAGACCACAACCACATAGATTGGATTGAGACAAAAATACACGGGCAACAGAATCAAATGCAAAAATTTAGTAAAATCGAAGCTGTGGGTTAAAGAATGCAAATGGGTACCTGGTCGCCGTTGTTGCGGAGGAGGTAGTCGCCGTTTCCAGAGCAGAAGAGTGACTGAAGGCCATGAGCGACGGCGGCTTCGGCACCCGCCATGCTCAGTGTTCTCGCAAATCAAATACAAAGAGAAGCACAATGCCAATGGAGCGGAAGCTGCTTCGATTCACCAGTTACAGAAGTCGCCGCTTTTGTATTCTTCCGCTTGACCACACTACTTTTTTTTTTTCCTTTTCTTTTGAGTGAAATGGTAAAACAAAAACGAAATTAAAGAAACTGAAGGAAAGTGGGTTATTTTCTCCATTGGAGGAAGCTTCGCGCTCAACAGAGCTTTTGGTTAGAGCATCGAAGGATGGGTAATGTTTCCATTTTTCTGTTTCTTGTTTTTCGCAGTTCTATATTTCAATCTGATTTGGTGGAAGAAATAGAAACGTGTTCGTTTCTCATCGTTCTCTACAAATTTTTATATGAAATTAATTCTTCAAATTAAAGATTCAAGCTTTTTATCTTTATGTTTATTTATTCTTAAATATTTATTATACATTCTATAAATCAATAATAATAAAATAATAGTTTGAAAAAAACTAGCAACACTTACGAATAACATTCCAAAATTCATATTTCTCAAAAACTAAAAACAAGAAAAAAGTTTCGCACTTGTCCTAATCTTTCTACTTTTACCTTCGTTTGACATAAAAAAAGTTGAAGAAATTATTTGAATGATTTAAAATGAATATAATTAAAAAAACTTTATTGAGATATTTAGTAATTCAATCTAACTATATCCAATAGAATAAAATAGATATCTAACATTCAAAAAGCAATTTCCTTTTAATTATCATATTATGATTGATTTATTAATTACAATTACATTATCGAGTAAAAGCTTGATTGAAATTTTTTTGTACCTTGAAAGTATAATTGAAAATTTAAAATTCTCATACTAAATCATATCATAACCCCGTTCTTTTTTTTTTAAAGAAAAAAACTAATATTTCAAAAGTAAATTTTTAAAAAAATGTATATATTATTTTTTTTTTAATACGAAACAAGATCACATTCAAAACCGAAACAAAAGACCACCTAAGAGCCGGAAAAGAAAGAAGAGGAGAAAGAGGGTCCGTTGATAAGTCTTGTGTATTAACCCAAAAAAAGGGTGAAATCCTCATTTTTCAGTTTTTTTTTTAAATCTAACTAAGAAAAAGATCCAAATTTCTATTTATTAATGATATCTTCTGTTTCGTTTGAGCGGGATCGATATCATAGTGCTTGTCTTTTGAAAATAGTAAATAAGAAACAAGAACTTATAACCTGACTTCTTTAGCTTTTTAGCCAACAGGTTTTCAACTAAAGTTTCCTCTGCAAATGAGTACATCTAAAATGGCAAGAAAATCCACAGAGCAAACATGGGCAGCACAACAAAATCGAAACTAAAAGATGAACCTCGAATTTGACTGCTATTGAATTTGTTCCACAATAAGCATATCGAAACCGAGCTGTTTCATTCGTTTTCGGTCCTTTTTTTACACGTTACTTGAAAAACACATTGGCATTTACACAAGGAACAATGATGGTGTGAGTTTATCAGGTTCTTTGTCTAACCCTTCTGCCATTTGAATCGCCACCGTCGGAGAGTTGAGCCCACACACTCCGGGATTTCGACCCGCTGCCACAAATGTCCCCACCACACTGTGCAAGTGTCTTCAGGAGCTCTGATTGAAGCGAAGGGTTAATTTCCTTCAAACGCTCGAAACCTTTTGATTGCATCACAGCTGCACAAGAGTGGTCCAATTTACAAGGCCATATGAAGCATGGAAAAACATATGCAAGTAAAAAGATGCGTCTGGGATGACGTTTGGTTGGGTAAAAAGTGCTTCTAATCCCTTAAAACCACTATTCAAAATTTTTTATAATGCTGGATTAGATATTCAAAAAGTGATTTTGAAAATTCGAATGATACGAAACGACACTAAAAATGCTTTAGGAGAAACACTTAATTAGTACTTTGGAACATTTTTACAAAGTACTTATCAAAAAGCCAAAGTTGAATCAGGTTGGAGACGAGAAAATGAGTTATTTTATTGTTAAACAGGTGATAAGGGAGTTTACCTCGACGCGGAAAGGAGAGATGCCAAAGCAGGTCAAAAATTTCCACTAAACTTACTGTTTTGGAGCAACTAATTGCACAAAAAAACCCCAATCTGGTCTCTCTAGTTTTTATTTAAAAATTTATTTATAAAAAACCGAGCTTTCATCAAGAGAAAGGAGAGAAATGAAAAATGTAGGGCATACAGAAAAACAGCCCGACCACATGACCTCCCAAAGAAAGGGACACCAGTTCAAAAGAATAACACTTATCTAACCTTGACCTTAAATGGACACTCTCTAGCTGTTGTGTTTTATGCCGGTCAAGGTTGGAGGTGGGACAAATATCCCCTTATGGAGGATGTATGGCTGATGGATGTTTCTCTAGCTCGTAAGTTTCCTCTCCTTTATAATCTATCTTTGAAGGAAAAAAAAGGCTGTTTACCAAAATTCTTGGATGATTGATTCAGAAGTTCGAAACCTAAGGCTAAGGAGAAACTTGAAAGATGTAGAAATTATAGAATGGAATGACCTCTCACAGCACCTATCTTCGGTTCGCCTAGAGCAAGCCCTGGGCAAATATGTTTAAGGAAGCTGGAACCTAATGGCTCTTCTCAACGAGCTCTTTCCTTCGGGATCTTCCTATCGAGAGACTTGAAGCAATCCCCCATTTATATGAGGCCATTTGGAAGGACCACACCCAAAAAAAGTCAAATTCTTTCTTTGGGAGATTGGCACAAAGACATACACACACATGATAAGCTCCTTCATAGGATGCCCTTCATGAGAATCTCTCCACACTGTTCTGTAGGTAAGAGAAGCCTTGAAACACAACATCACATAAGATGTCACATGTGAGTATGCTGCAAGATTTAGAACATTCTCTTATCAAAGTCTGGATGATACACGCCCCTACCAAATGACCCAATGCATCTCCTGTTCTCGAAAATCACCCTTTTAAAAAGGAAACGAAGCTCCTTTGGATGAATTTCGTTAGAGCATTCTTTTGGGTTACTTGGCAAGAGTGAAATCAAAGAATCTTCCAAGAGAAGAAACTTTCTTTTGACCCTTTTTTTTATGCTATAGTTTTCTTGGTTATTACTTAAGCATAAATGCTCCCCTTTTAACCATTACTATTGCTTTTATTCTCTTGTATCCAATTGGAGAAGTTCTTTGTAACTCCCTTAGATCATTAGATCAATGTTCTCCCTACCTATACCACTTGTAATTACATACCATCAATGAAATTGTTTCATTAAAAAAAAAAATGCAAGTTCAAGGAAGAAAGTCAAACAGTTATTTGTTGTTTCAATGTGAGTTTAGTGGTGTTCTAGAACTCAGTAGAGAGCAATCTGCAACAATTGACAAGAGCCCAGAAAGTGAAAGAACGGTTGAAAATCGCCTCGGAGAATCGATTAGAAGCAATGCTGCGAGAGATGTGATTGGAGAGAGAGCGTATCATTCTTACTAATAAGGACAAATTGGGAGAATGTAATCGAAAAGGCTAGTTCCAATGCTTCTTATGGGTGTTCCTTATGCAAATTATTTTGGAATTCTTATTGGACTCCTTTCATGTGAACTCCAAGTAGGCTCTATACTTTTGTAAACTTTTCATATATCAATGTAAGTTATATTTTTTAATTAAAAAAATAGTATTCCTGTGTTCTAACTTCTAAGCAACATTTTATCAGGAACATGGTAACTGAATCGGAAAAACAAAGTACCTCCAAGGTTCATGGCAGCAAATCTCAGGCAAACTGCTTTCAATTCAGCGGCATGATGCTGATCGGCAAAACTTAGTACTTGTGCAACAGACCGTACAGAAAGATTTTTACAAAGATGAGATTCACACATAAGTCTCAATCTCTCCAAGCCATATCTGTCTGCTGCTGCCAACAATTTTGCCATAAAGTTGTCGCCCATACAAGATTCAGAAGATGAATTTGAAGTTGATACAACCACATCCTCTGCAATGTTATCGGTGTACATAAAGTGCAGCAAAGCCTGTTGGAAATTAAAGCAACTTCAGAATAAAAATCCCTAAACATGATGCAGTTCAAAATAACCAACACAGAAGCAAAGACACCAAAACCTATAATAAGAGTAAAACAAATGAAGAGACACAAATCACATTTATACCTTGAAAACGTTAGGTTCTAGACCTTTCACAATAATCTCCTGCTTATTTTCCTCTAACATGTTAAAAAATTCAAACCGAAATATAGGTGATCTAGCAGCCAATATCAACTTATGAGCTTGAAAATTTTCCCCATCGACATTAAAGGTAACATCTGAACCTTCCAAATTTTCAAGCAGCGCCCCAAAATGAGCTCCAATATTAGACTCGGGAACAGAAATCGTATGTGAATGTGAATGCTCTATTGATGAAACCACAACTCCAACAGTACAATTTATTTGTAAGCAATCATCCTTGAGGTAGTCAGAGTTTTCAAGGGTAGATCGTCTAAGAAAACGCTTGTATCCCCTACATTTGCAAATCAAAGAAACGTCAAAACTTCAAAAGATATCCGAGGACCAGTGCAAAAAGAGAATAATTTTCAGGAATGGTTCAAGCCTTAAAAACCACAATGATTGTCTTACAACGACAAGAACAAATTCTTCATTAAAGTATGAAAAAACCAAAAAGAGGGGCAGATAAGCCAACACACCCAAAGTCAAAGAAGCTTTACGATAACTCTAGGTGGCACAAAATATATATACATAGTTACAAAAAATTTCTAACAGTACACTAAGAGAAGCCCAAGGAATTAATGATATGCCGACAAGTCATAAACATCCTAGAGTCTTCAACGATTGCAATTCCAAAAGGGCTTGAATTTTTAGATTTCCTACCTTTATTTGGTTCTTTGGTTTGCTGGTTTTATATTTTGGGTTTGGTTAGGTTGTTTGTGGATTATTTTAGGTTTCTGTTTGTTGTGGAGGAGTTAATCAGTTCCTCTTTTGGTTTTTTTTGGCTAGCTCATGGGTGTTCACTGGTTTGCTTTAGGTTTCTTTCTTTTGGGGGCTGCTGTTTCAGCCCAGTTAATTTGGTTGGTTATTGGTTTTTTATTTTTAAAAGGTTGGTTCCTTCAATATCTTGTATCTTTTCATCTATCAATGAAAAGCTATATGTTGTTAAAAAAAATTCTAAAGTCTTCAAAGACTCTTTGATTCCTTTGAAACCAAAATTTTCCGCAGACTGCTTCAACTATATTCATCCATTCTATTATAAAAATGTCAAGACCAATTTCAATGAACCACCACCTCTTCTCTCATCATCTCATCCACTGCTTTATTGGCAATAAGGATTGGAGTTAATCAAGTTGTCTTCCCATAATATAACACACCAATCATGTCCCAACTTAAAGATAGACCTTTCTCAATAAAATTCTTGCATTTACCTATCCCATACCACAAGCAAGAAGCAGCAATTATTGACACATCACTAAGAAACCAAAGGAGCTTTTAATGAGCCAAACACAAGGATCTACCACCAAAGCACGTACTGAGGGTGGGTGGAGGACATAGAGTGACTACTGTTACTAATAATAACCAGCCACAAAGTAACACAATCATCTCTTGCCCGAGCATTCAAGAAATTAAAATTTGGCTTCCCAATAGGCATATTTGATATTATGAAGTAAGCCAATGATAGTTTGAACAAATTACATTTAACACAAGTACTTATAATATTTTTTAAAAATCAAACAATGGGCAAGGCATGAAATAAATAGTGTTACCTTTGTTTCCAGAAACAAAATTGTTAATAACGCAAATTACACGGTCAAGTTGGCTTAAGAGCTCGTTCAAATCTTCTTACAAGTGTGAGTTTTTAATAAGAATTTAGATGAAATGCCCATGGAAAACTAAAGCAAAAACAAACATTGGACAGAGAGATTAACATGATTAATATAGTGTAGGCTTGGTTAAGTGAAGTAAATTGAAATTTTGAAACTAAAATATTTATATTACATTATAGCACTCATCTCTATTCTAATACTATAAAAGTTCGAATTAAAAGTTTTGAATATGGATTATATAATATTAAATAAGCTATATCGAAGATAAATATCTTTCAAACTAATGTTGATACAAACAGTAAAATTGCTTAAAGAAATATTGATGGCAGAGTTGATAGCATCATCATTGGTCCCAAATTAGATTTCATCCCTAATAACCTATATCAAGCAGATTAAAAACATGCATAACTTGTGTTGTTTGTAAGTCATAGTATGTCATTATGCACCCGGTGGTCTGTCAATTCAAAGCAGTCTACTAATGTACTAACAAGTTGCATCCCATCTATCACTTTATTGTGAAGTACCAGATTGGCCCATTCAGCCATAGGTACCTCCGTATTATGTTGAGTGGATCAGAGACTGTGATCGAGACTGCTTTGCAAGCAGAATTACTAAAATAGTGGAGCCTGATGACTGGCTAATAGAGGTTCTTCATGGTTGGAGCTCCCTAAAAAAGCAAGGTTTTTGTGGAGGTGTGCTTCGAGAGCTCTCCTTTGGCATCTTTGGTTGGAACGAAATCTTCGAGTCTTTGAAGATAAGTCTTCCTCTTTTGAGATTTTTTGTAGAAATGTACAGGACACTGCCTCTTGGTGGTGCATCAACTATAGCAAATTCTTGTGTAGCTACAACCTTTCCATGGTTTTGAACAATTGGAAAGTGATTGTGTAGTCCTTTTGAGTGGGGTTTCCTCTACCCCAGCCCTTAGGTTGTTCCTTTTTGTTTTTATACAGGTTTCTTATCTAAAAAAAAAAAAAGAGTGGAGCCTTGATGCTTTGTCCTTATACATATATATATATATGGATTTCATACATACAAGGAAGGAGATCATATACCCCCACCATTTACTCGTGCTACGAAACTTACAACCCAGAAGAATTTCCTAATGCCCTCGTTCTTCTTCTCCTTATCAGGGCCATTTTACAGGGACTTGTCGTGACAAGATATCATTTAAGCTTACTTTTAAACACCAATCAAGAACCGAATATTGATAGTTGATCATCACCCTTCACCACATACATAGCATAAAAAACAAAAAGGGAAAAAAATATTGCACGATTATAAATATACATAAACACCAATCAATAACCTAAATCCTACGCACGACAAAAGAACTGCCATATGTCACAGATGCAATAATCCAGACGTTCTATATCTACAAACAGGAAACTGGTCAAGAATTGATCACCTAATCAAAACCACTGTAAAAACATACCACATACTGCCGCGATACTTCAGAGTATAAGGACCACTCTCAAGCGACCGCTCAAAATGGCTATGAACCTTATGCTTCCCTTTACCGCTCTGATCGACAAGCGTGAGTTCAAACAACGCCCTGACGTCGGTGCCGTCGCTAGCCAGTGCGATGAAGATGGAAACGTAGGTCGAATTATCCTCAATATTCTTCCCGTCGGGATAGAAGTAAACAGCCCATTGATACCCTCCGACGGTGAAATTATCGCTGGCAATGTGCTTGCCGGGTCCCATTCCCTTCGCCAGAGAGTACCCCTGGATCACGAACTTGTGCGAGCCATTGACAGTGTGAGTCACCGACCTCGAGCTGGTCGGCGAGGCGGAGGGGCTCTTCTCCGGCGCGGTGGCGGTGGGGGTATTGGGATTGGTGTCGGCCATCTGAACTACAAGACTGTGATTGTCAAATTCATGGAAATAGGGGGAGAATTTCGGCCCTGTGATTGAGAAATTGTGAAGAAACTGGGAATCTGATGAAGAAAAATTGGAAGATTTGAAGAGAGAGAGAGAGGAATTTTTTGAAGAGAAACGGCTCAGGGTTGCGTTTCTTGGGTTTTGAAAATACGATTTTCGCTCGGCTTTTCTCTTCCTTCTGAAACTGTTTGCTTGCAGCCGCTGCTTCTCTTGATTGATTGATTGATTTTTTTATTTATTATTATTATTTTTTTTACTGCCAGAGACGGTTCTGTAATTTTCTATAGGTTAAAATATAATTACTTTTCTTTTTTATTTATTCGGTAGAAAAATGACTTTCGTTCGTTAAAAATTTATATAACAAAATTCAACTATTTACACTTTTTTTGTTCTAATTTTTTTAAATTTATGAACACTACTTACAAGGTAAAAAATCGATCCGATCAATTTGAATATGATTTAGTCCGCATAGATTTTTTTTTGCCAAATCTTACTAGTCGGCTCGTCCAATTATAAAACAGTTCGACTGAATGATCAATATGTTTTTATTAACTATCTTATTCATATAGACAATATGTCATTTATAAATTGAATTTACTACTCAAATATTGAAAAAGATAATATGTTAGAGTAATTTTATTTATTTGAATTTAACGACACAATGGAATATAGATTGAACATCTGATAGATAAATGATATATATGTTACTAAATTTGAAGCGACACAATATTTTTATAAACAAAATCGAAATTTTATAAATCTATTTAGAAGATTTTGGAATTTAGGACTAAATTTACATATATTTAATCACAAGTTTTTTTTTAATATTTAATCCCAAGTTAGATAGATTTAATGGATAAAACAAACTGGATGAACAGTAAATCATATCAATCGAATGATCATCATCCGAAGAGTGGCGACAATATACGAACAAAATTGTTACTTTCCGACAGAAATTTCGAGAAAGCTCGAAATTTTGTTCACAACCCTAAATTTTGTTCACAAATTTATGGCACCAAATTACATTTACACGGGTAATTGGGGATTTTGACCGATTGATTCCTTGTCAATCATCATCGCTCTTTGAAATGCCGAAGAGTCAAGCCCCCACTGCCACAATTTCGTCAACCCTTTTCATCGAACCCTATAAAAGCCTCCTCCTCGTTCGCTTTGACCCTCTTTCTTCTGATAAACCAGTATTCCAATGGCGGATCATTCTTGTGCTAAATCCTCCGCCATGATCTCCACTGATGAAGCTCTCCGAATTGTGCTAGAAGTCGCTCGACGCCTACCCCCCGTCGCCGTCTCTCTCAACGATGCTCTTGGGAAGGTCTTGGCCCAAGATATTCGTGCTCCTGACCCTTTGCCCCCCTATCCAGCCTCCATTAAGGTACTTCCATAGCCCAGTAAGCTTAATCTTTGTTCATATGGTCTCGATTTTTTACATCGGGCCCTGGATTGTCTCGTTTTCTTAGTTGACCGGAAGAAATTTTGGACTTTGCTTGGTGGGTTTTCTCTGTATTTGGTTTTTTGACTGGATGAAATGAAATGATATCAAATTACTTGGTCGACTCTTGACTGGAAGAAAATGTTTTAGTGGATTTTCCTTTTGATTTAATTTTGTATTGGAAGAAATGAAGTTATTTTAATGTATCATCTATAGAATTCCTTTGAAACGTGATGGCTATACATTCATCGCAGTTGGGAATTTTTCTTGTAGGATGGTTATGCAGTGGTTGCTTCAGATGGGCCTGGGGAGTATCCGGTGATTACAGAATCTAGAGCTGGAAATGATGGGGCTGGTGTGACGGTTACTCCGGGAACTGTTGCTTATGTAACCACTGGAGGTGTTCTTTTTTTCCCCCCTCTTATTTGAGTCGTGACCAAGTTTCCAATTTGTATTTAGCATGTGGTTAATAGGATATATTGCTTAGAGGAATTTTATTTTATTTTATTTTTTCTAAAGTTATACTCATCCCATAGCTGCTCAATATATTCAGAATTGGCTTTCGATTGAACATCGAGCAGTTATGTAGTTAAGTTAATCAGCCATTCTAATTGAAAATTTCAATTTGAATTCTGGTTGATGAATATAAAAACTTAAAACGCGAATGGTCATTTTATTATTTCAACTGTTTTCTTATTTTCTTACTGATTTGACTTTTTTTATTTTTAAATTTTTTCATCCCAATACATTCTCGTTGTTACATCTCTAAGGGCCAATACCTGAGGGTGCTGATGCGGTGGTTCAAGTTGAGGATACTGAGCGAATTGAATCCAAGCGTGTAAAAATAATGGTGAAAACGAGGAAGGGTGCAGATATTCGCCCAGTGGTATTAGTTCATTACTTCTTCAAGTTTTGTACTGGCAATTCATTTATTAAGTAAGAAAATATTATTGAGAGAAGATCAACAGAAATAATTAAAATGGACAAGAATTCATACCATAGTGTCGAGCACAAAGAAGAATTAAGGAATGTAATAACAAATACGATTTTTTCCGATGAGAATACAGTAGAGAATGGAGGATATGATGTGCTCTTTTTGGCAATAAGGCTAGATGGCGGCTTCACTTGGTGAGCTCTTTTTGGTACACTCCTTCAACTTTTTGTAAAATGACTCCTCTTCAATAGATACCAATAGGAGTACTTTTTTATATGCTCCCTTGGTTTTCTTTCCCTATTCTTCTATACTTCCAACATTTCATTGAGAAGTAATGCTTGTCTCAATAATGTATTAGTGATCTTGATCTGTGTGCTTACACTTTTAGCACTTGACTTAATATGAAAAGGATTTGAGTTCCTCTTCCACTTCCCACCCACAGTAAAAGGGTCGCAGGCAACAACCGTCATTACCATTGTGAGCGAAGGCTAAATCTTTTAGCATCACTTTCGATAGAAGATACAACGGAAGAAGAGATAGATTAGAGAAAAGGAGAAAGAATCATTCTTTCTATGTTTCTAAATAGTTAGTTAGTTTTAGTGGCCTAACTTGGAGATTGTTCGAGTGTGCAGTTGAACCAATGGGGCAACAAATTCTTTAGACAATTCCAGATTGACGACTATGTTTTATGGGTGAAGTCTTTAAAGAAGGGTGGATATCCTTGAAACTTGTAATCTAAACTCCATTGGCATTTTTGTAAATTGAACCTCGGATTTTGCTTTGGCATCAACATTTCATCCTACAGTTGCCCATAAAGACTTAAAATTAAAGGTTAGACGTAATTTATTCAGTATTGGAGAGTTGGTGTAATGGGATTCTTCATTACTTTTTACTACACACATCTCATACCATTTAGTGCATTAATTCTCTTGTCAAGAACATTTAAACAAAAAGTTCTTTTTCCTTTGTAGGTATGAGACTTAATTGCAGGAAATTATCTTTACTAAAAGTTTTATTCATGTCTTGTGGGCATTTCTTTACCATTGAATAGCTCATGACACTGCCTTCCCAGGGATGTGATATCGAGAAGGATGCTCTTGTTTTAAAAGCTGGAGATAAAATAGGTGCCTCGGAAATTGGCTTGCTTGCTACTGTGGGTGTCATGACAGTGAAGGTATTATAATTCCTAATATATCTGGTTTCTAGTTTTTATTTATTTTTTGTTAAGAAAATATTTCATTGATGTATGAAAAGCTGGTAGAAAGGTGCTGCTCCAACTCTATTTCCTTTCTGATTTACTGGATTTTAATGTTGTCTTGTAGGTATATCCTACGCCAGTTGTTGGTGTTCTATCTACTGGAGATGAACTTGTAGAGCTACATACTGAGTGTCTAGGTCGTGGGCAGGTATTATGGTACATAACATTGTTGAGATATCTGTATATATGTAAAAATTGTATATGTCTCAACCTTCATACTGGTCCTACGATTTCTCAAAGAGTTCACGTTGTTATCTATACATAGGATTGTTGAATTAAATCAGAAGAAATTTTCTGAAAGAAAAAACGAATCCTTGATTCATAACTCTCATGGTCCATGGCATTAATTAGTTCTAGTGGTATATAGTAAAGTCCATGGTATTGTTTCAACTCTCAACATCCACTACTTTTCATTCAAGGTGTTCGTTCATGTTATTTAGTTTCATAAAGTTCCTATCTAATAAAATAAACTTTGTAGATTAGGGATTCAAACCGTGCTATGTTACTTGCTGCTGCTGTCCAACACCAATGCAAAGTTATCGACCTTGGTATTGCTAGAGATGATGAATGCGAGCTTGAGAAGATCTTGGAAGATGCCTTTTCTGCTGGAGTTAACATCCTTCTAACTTCTGGTGGTGTTTCAATGGGAGATAGGGATTATGTCAAGCCGTTACTTGCTAAGAAAGGAGTTGTATATTTTAATGCGGTTTGTAGATGGTTGCTCAAATGCTTTCACTTAATTGTTCCTCCTCTTTGTAGTTATGGTCATGGAATTGGAAATACCTTTTCAGGTCTTCATGAAACCGGGGAAACCTCTGACTTTTGCAGAGATCAAACCAGATGCAACAGAAAATAAGGAATTGAATCAGATTCTTGCATTTGGGTTGCCTGGAAATCCTGTGAGCTCTTTAGTTTGTTTCCAACTATTTGTAGTCCCTGCCATCCGCCACCTTGGGGGATGGGCAAATCCTCATCTTCTGAGGTAGCTGAAAAATCCTACTGTTTTTCTCTTCTCTCTCTCTTTTTAACCATCCCCCTTCCTATTTTTTTAATTTGTTATATTTGCTTACATGGTAGTACGGTACCTCTGTTTTTCTCTACAAAATGCAGAGTTCAGGTTCGTCTTTCAGAGCCGATAAAGTCAGATCCTATTCGACCACAGTTTCATGGTGCAATTGTCAAATGGAAAGACAATGATGGGTCAGGAAACCCTGGGTAAGTTGTTGGGGTAAATCTTATTACTTGTTCTACGCTTTGAGTCAGTAGGACTCATTGCCTATAGTGCAACATGAGCTTGCAACTTGTTGCATCTTAACTTTCTTGAATTTCCTTCCTTGTCTGGATTTTCAGTTTCTCTGCAGAGGGTACTGGTCAACAGATGAGTAGCAGACTTTTGAATTTGAAATCTGCCAATGCTTTGTTGGAGTTGCCACCAACGGGAAGTATAATAGCTCCTGGCACTTCTGTATCAGCTATCATTATTTCTGATATAAGCAGTATTGCTGGTCGTGCCAACTCTTTTTCATCTGACTTGATAGTTTCCTTAAAAAGTAATATATCGAAAGAAATTACAACCACTCAAGCTCAAGATATCAGGTTTAAAGTAGCTATTCTTACTGTGAGTGATACTGTTGCATCTGGGGCTAATCCTGATCGAAGGTATGGCATTTTACAATATTTTTTCCTCCTTTTTGCGTATTTCTTTTTTCCCTAGTGATCTATATTGGTTCTTTTGCTAGTAGGATTAGGGATTCTAGAGTGGTCTTTTTTGGTGGCACCTCAGATGGTGGAGATTTTTATGACAAGCAAGTTGGTCGAGATTGTTAATTATTAACAATCCTGTTGTTCCTCTCATTCCAAAGAGCCTCCAAGAAGGTTTTAGCATTCCTCAAAAGAACCCTAGATTTACTAATTACTATATAACCACCAACTGAAAGAAAACCTCTGGGAGCTACCAAAAGAAAAGATGTCATTCACGGCAACACCACACTGGGCAGAATTTTTAGACCACGCTAACTGCTAGGCAAAACTCCTTGCAAAGAATATTCTGGCTTCGTCTTGCTAAGCCATAATGATTAAGTAAATAATTGAGGATTTGTAGACTTGGGCTCTGTTTGTTGTTGCTCATCTGGCTCTTTTGCTGGACCTTACGTTTATATTCCTTAATTTTCTCAATGGAAGTTCTATTTCTTATAAAAGATCAACAAATTGAATTATTGAAGGTTGGTATATACATTAATGGTTCATTTCCTAATAAAATATAAAGTCACTCTGTCTCCTATTTGGAAACCCATACAATTAGTAATGTTGTCTTAGTTCTATCTACTAAATCTTTTTTAAAGATTCTTTTTGTTTGAATATTAACCATATTGCCTTGTGGTGGTCATTACTACACAAAAAAGTTTTTGTAATTACAATCTTCTTTTGCTTACTCAAGATTGGAAAACGGTGATTGTATAGAGTTCTGGGGAGGGTTCTCTCTACCCTCCGCCTTTAGGCTGTTCTCCCCCTTTTTTTGTGGGTTCTTTTGATTTGAATACATCTTTGGTTTCTTATCAAAAAAAAAAAAAAAAAAAGTAATGTTGGTGTCCTCTCGATCCATTTCATATCGATGGTAATTGCTCTGCAACAATATTAAGCTGTTTTTCCTCATAGAAGGTATCATGGTAAAATATTTGCATCTGGATACCCCTCTTTGAATGGTTATTTCTTTGAGGCCACTATGTTGATGCTAAATAAAAATGAGCAAAGCTGGTATGGTATTTTTCCCTGTCAAAGAGGAAAGTGGAAGATATTGAATGCTTTGCAACAACACTTATGAAATAACCTAGGATTTCAAATCTTCGACAAATGGATTTGTATATATCATTTGCATAACATTAAAACTAGTGATTTGGAGATACGTTGATGCCACGATCAAACTAATTGAACTAGATGCTTGGCTCTCAACATTTATCAATTCTGTTTCTTTCATTTTGATCTAGATGCTCCGCTCTCAAAATTTCTCTCATTTGTAAGACAACTCCCTAGTTTGGTTCGCTTGTGGGTGTTTTGTTCCCTTTGATTTGTAAAGACAACTATTTATTCAGAGTCCTCGTAACATTAGTTCTCAGTGATGGATGTGATTGGATCCTCTAGTAGCTTTCTTTCTGTGAGATAAAATGGTTTTTGAGGTGGTGGAAGGGGCTTTCTCGCTCTCTATTAACAAGAAGCGGAATGTAGTTTTCCTTGTTGGACCGTTGGTTTTTGTGGCCCGTCCTCTTGCCACGTCAGAGAGGGCATTTTCGGAGAGTTTGACTACTTAGTGGGTTCATGGAGTGGTTGGTTTGGATGTGTGTGTTGCCATTGGATCGTAAAAGGTTTACCTTGCCGAGTCTTTGGGAGGGCTTCCCTGTTCCACAACAACAATTTCCTTCCTATCTTATGCATATTATATACCTAGGGCTGATCCGTAGGAGGTGGAGCACTGGTAAAAGCTTGGAATGTTGGGCTAGACACCAAGTTATGGGCTCCCCCCGCATTTTCTCGAGATTAGGTGTATTAGGGTCTTTGGCATTGGCAGGTGAGGTACCTAATTATGATCCTATCATTTGCTTTCTCATGGAGTTTGCTTTGGAATGGGCTGACTCCCAAGGGATTGGAAAATGGACCACCTCGGTGGGCTCCCAACAACTCGGATATCAGTATACACAGACACTGATATTATCAATTAAGAATTTATTGGGCATAGATGGAAGAAACGTAAACAGAAATCTTTTTGAGGAAAAATTGACTTCGATGGTTTCTTTTCCTGATTCTGTACAGCATAATACAACCTCTTGGTGGTGTTCAAACTAAAAAATATTATTGTGTAACTACAGTCTTCTCATGATTATTAGCGATTGGAAGACCTTGTTTTTGTTGTCTCTTGGACGGGGGCTCTCTCATCCCCCGGCCCCTAGGTTGTTTGCTTCTTGCTTTTATCTGAAAGTCATCGTTACTTATAAGAAAAAATTCAATGGTTCTCTTATTGTTTTACGAAACATAAAAGACACTTGGATGACTCTCTATTATGAATGAAGTCTCTGGATTCTTCTTTATGTTATCACCATCATGCATGAAGCCCTTGACAAAAAGCTTTTCTTTCTTCAACTTAGTGGACCAAGGGCTGTTTCTATTGTCCAAGCCTCATCAGAAAAACTAGGAGGAGCTGAAATTGTTGCAACAGCTTCTGTCTCAGATGATGTCAGTAGAATCCAGGATGTTCTTGTGAGATGGTGTGACATTGATAAAGTAGATCTCATTCTCACACTGGGTAATACTTTTGCTATACTTCATGTTCCTTGGGCACAGGATGGGGCGGGGGGCAATACTTTATCCTGTCTCCTTATATTTTCTCTTCTTGTTAAAATGAATCTGTCTAGGTGGAACTGGATTTTCCCCGAGAGACGTGACGCCCGAAGCAACCAAACCGTTATTGCACAAAGAGACCCCTGGTCTACTATATGTCATGATGCAAGAGAGCCTTAAGGTAAATATTTGGAAGTCTACAAGTCACCCTTTTTGTTACCATTTTGTTTTCTAATTGTTCTGCTATCATACATTTTCTTTATACTTGCTCTTAAGCTAATCTCGAACCTTCCGTGATAGGTAACACCATTTGCCGTGCTCTCACGTTCTGCAGCTGGGATTAGAGGATCAACCTTGGTAATGCCAACGATTTCCTTTTCATATTTCCGCGTAGTACTTTTTTCTGGAAATATGACCTTGAGGAGAAACCGACATTTTAACTGAACCAGCGATAAGTTACAAGAATGCTGTAGGGGATTATGAAAAGAGTACTGCAATTAGGGTTAGTAAGCATAGAATCATAGTTACAAGAGAAGAAAGTGGAGACCAATATGAAGCACAGAAAATCCTACACCCATGACAGAACAAGACCAAATATCTGATGCTCTAAAATTGTAGGAACCCAAATAGGTTACTGAAATGTGCCACCACCAAGCCTCCTTTCCCCCGACCTATTGATGCTTCAAAATATTCTCCGGTTCGTTTTCGAACAAATATTATGTAATATTAATAAGAAACCAGCTTGCCAAAGTAAACAGCATGGCTTTGATCTCAAAATGAATACCAAACAATATTTGCCAAGAATACAAAAGGGAACCAACGATATTTGCTCAAAACCAATAATTGTTAACTGTGATGTTCTTCCAAACGAAGTTGTCGTCTAGAGCGAAATACGAAACCCATTCTAGAATTATCTTTGTTTCTAAGTACCAAATTTTATACCCCATTTCTAGAATTATCTTCCACAATAACTCGTCCCCTTGATTGCCCATAAATCTTTCTTTCAAGCTCCATTTTGCTAGCCTTCCTCCTAATAATCTCCCTTTCACGAATTACTCGAGAATTCATTTAGAATTATATTTATATGGATTTTTACCTCCTCTAACATAAAGTCGTGGATCCACCATTGGTTATCACAAGTACACGACAATGAAAATGAAGTCTTTCTTTCGCATCATTTCTTTTTCAGATTATCAACATGCCCGGGAATCCCAATGCGGTAGCGGAGTGCATGGAGGCCTTGTTGCCAAGCCTTAAACATGCACTGAAGCAGATAAAAGGGGACAAGAGAGAGAAGCATCCTCGTCATGTTCCTCATGCAGAAGCAGCACCTACAAACATTTGGGAGCAGAGTTATAAGCTGGCTTCTGAAGGATTAAAAGAAACTGGGTGTTCCTGTTCTCATTAAAAGACAATGAGAATGTTTCAGCAAAAATCACTGAAACTTGGCAAGTTTTGTTCAATGTTCTACCATTGCTTTTTAACTGTACATCTCAACCCTCAGATTAGGAGCCTTTTGTGACTAATTGCTGCTGCTGAGTGTACTGTCTAAACAGACAAGGCTATGTCTATACTCTCATATGGCATGTCGTATATTATCATTATCATTAGATCTAGTTTCAAATTGTTTATGGTTGCCAACTTGAGCATAACTCGTTAAACTCAAAAAAAAAAAAAAATAATGTTTGTGTTGTGGTTTTTGCTTGATTAAATATGGTCGTAGACTCGTAGTCTTGCAAATTTTCCCTTTTTAAAACTTTTTATCTTGGCTAGGCCTTGTTTGATGGTTTTTTTCTTTAACTAATAATTTTCTTTACTCATCCTTCGAGGTTGAACCTCCCCGATGTTCGAGATTTCAGACTTTAAGTGAAAAATTTAGAACTTGTTTGGTAGCGTTGTTTTTAGTTGTTAGTTTCTTATTTCCAGATTTTAGAAACATAAATAGTTTAGTACCAATTCATGTTTCCTGTTTCTCATTTGTAAGAAACAATTTTTGTAATTGTGTATAAATTTTGGAAGGAAGACAATTAAGTTTATTGTTCTTGTTTTCAAATTTTTTTTAAAATATAAATAAATTGTAAAAGTTTTGAATATTTAATTTAACAAATTAATTTTCATATAAAATTTTTACTATTTTTAATTTAAAATGGTAGAGAGAAACCAAGAAATTATAGAAAACAAAGTTACCAAATCTCTTACTTTTTATTTTTGAAAAGAAACAACACATGAAATGAGAAACAATAAACAAGAATATAACAAAACGATAATAAAAGAACATTTTTTATGCCTCCTGTTTTCTTAGCTTAATTTTTACTTTCTAGACTATAGAAGTCGATTAAATTTTGAAAACTATTTTTTTTAGTACAAAATAAAAAAATGAATCGACAACTAAAATAGAAACTAAAAAAATAATAGTAATCAAATCATATAGTTTTTGTTTTGCATTTTGGTCCTATCATTGATTTATAATTAGTAATCTTGTCAACATCTTGTCAATATTTATTTTAGATTCATTTGTCTAAGTAGAGAACATATTTAACATATCAAAGTTTGAATTAATAAATTTAATTATAATATATTGTCCAATAAAATTTGATACTCTGGATAGTTTTGTGATATTAAGTCAATAATAAAACAATGATTAAAATGGTCTTCATAAAAAAAGTAGGTGAATTGGCATAAAAAGAAAGACTTGTAACTTGTAAGGCCAGAGAATTGAGAGATTGAAATGTTTGTTGTCTTGGTGGCCAACCACAACCACTACTTGTCCCACCAACTTTGTACTTTCAATGTTAAGTAAAATGAAGGGAAAAATACATTTTTGATCCCTGAAGTTTGGGGTAAGTGTTAATTTGGTCATGAAGTTTCAAAATGAACATTTTTTGTCCCTAAGTTTGGGGTTGGTGTCAATTTGGTCCTTTAAGTTTCAAAATAAACACTTTTTGTCTCTAAAGTTTGAAAATTTGTTCTAAATGATCCTCAAGTGTTCTTTGACCGTTAGTTGACTTAACGGAAAAATGACCTAGCAATTAACATGTGACTAGTTAGGGACCAAATTGAAAAGTAAATTAAAAAAGTCCAGTCACTCATTAATTGTCACGTCATTTTTTCGTTAAGTCAAAGAATGGTTAACGACCCTTTAGAACCAAATTTCAAACTTTAAGAACCAAAAGTGTTCATTTTGAAACTCAGAACCAAATTGACACCAACTCCAAATCTCACGACAAAAAATGTTCATTTTGAAACTTCGGTACCAAATTGACACCTACCCCAAATCTCAGGAACCAAAAATGTATTTTTTTCAAAAACTAATTATTTGATTTGTATACTTTAGAATTTAGAAAATAAGCTTCAATTTTAGTTCACGAATTTACTTGCTTCAAACTACAAATTCATTGCCAAATGACTTATTTCAAGGTATATTGTTCATTTTCAAAAGGTCGAATGTCCAATTCTCCGTGTCACTGCAAATTTACTAAGTTCATGACTCTTCTTTGAATAAAAAAGACTATAAATCTTGATTTCCTGAACGTACTAAAATTGAACTCGAATGTCTAAAATTGATTCTATAGCACCATGTGAACGTTTTTCATACTACACAAACTTAAGCTCAATGGATTATATATGAAATTGTAATAAAATTGTATACATATTGTTATGGAGAACGAAAATGACCCGAAACGAGACAAGGAGTTGAAGTCTGATTAGGGAAGACCGGCCCGGGACATAACGGGCCGGCCAAAAGAGTGACCTAACGCCGGGGCAGAGAACGAGAAAAGCGACCAGAGGGAAGCCCACTGAGCCACGAAGGGCTCGGCCCCGACCCGGTGCTCAGCCCCGATCCGGTGCTCGGTCCCGACCCGGGGCTCGGTCCACGGCCCAGCCAGTGATCCCCCGTCTTTGATCGACGATGTCGCCCAGGCCCTGCAACGGTGAATTAGGGTTAGCTACAGAAGATTCTGGAACAACTTCACGCTATAAGTATTGATCCAGCCTTAGAGGTATGGAGGGAAGAGAGTTGACTACATTTACGTTATTCTCTTACTAACTTAAGCATCGGAGCCCGTGTTACTAGAGTCACACCGGTTTAGCTCGATTTGATTTTGCAGGTACTAGTCCCGGATGAACAAGTTTGGTGGATGCGAGGTAGTGAACCGGAGAACCGAAATCCACGCATCAACACATATGAATATATATCTCTCTCTTTTAGTATAATATTTTATATATTTTTTTTTTTGGTAAAAAAATGACTGATTAAAAATACTTGAAAACAATTCCACGGTGTAATATTATATATCAAATTTTCATGACATAAAAGAGAAGTGTTTTTTGGATTAAACATTTAATGTCTTAAACTATAAGAACATACAATACTGGCAGAAGAATGTTTGAAAACTAATTTGGACCACATTTTCTCGAAGCAAAAATTACGCACAAACATATTTGGTTTACTGTTTTCGAACATTGATTAATACTCCACTAAAATCATATCTTATGCACAAGTTTTAAAAACTTCAAAATTGATCAAACCATACAAGTACATCAACCCCAAATTTTGATTTCACAAACCCATGTTCATTCTCACATCAAAACACAAAACAAATGGACCAGGAGGCATAAATCTCCCATAAATTTGGATTTGGGTCATCACCCATCACCAAGCAATGAGCTTTCCCCCCCAAAATGTAATAAATAATCAGAATTCATGGCTGTAAAAGAAGAGGACGGTGAAGAAAGAACAACATATGGATATAATTTGCAATAGTGACTGCAAAACCCGGCCCCGATTTTGGATCTCGCGGGTGGGTTGGTGGTGATGTGAGAGAGAGAGAAAGAGGATTTCAGGGTTGGTTGGTTTTTGGTAGGGATGAGAGAGAGAGAGAGAGAGAGAGAGAGAGATTGGGGGTATAAATGAACCATCATCAACTTTCACTGAAATCCCACGAGCCCTTCGCAAAATCATCGGCTTCTTCCATTATAGCACTGAGAAGAGGAGCAATTTCACCGTTTCCGTATCTCCTTTTCTCATCAATCCACCATCTTCCCTCCCGTCGCTTATCAATTCGCACCACTTCCACCGTTATTAGGTAACTTTTTTTATTCTCTCTCTGACTCGTGCTTCATTTCTGTTGTATGGACTCTCTTGGGCTCGTTTTTTGCCTCGTTTTATGATATGGGTATGGACTATGGAGGCTACTTTCAGTCTGATTCTTTGGAATTAAGCTTCAAAAGACCCAGTGAGTAATGAAATTTTGGGGGTTTTATGAAATGATGTTAGCTCAGCGGAAATGGATGAACATGAAGGGCTCTGACTGTTTGTTTCTGGGTTCCAAAGTTATTGTTTCTTTTTCTAGATGTTCTTTCTTTAAGGATTCGAGTTTGAGGAGCTCTGTAGTTTCTTTTCATTTCTTTCCTGTTGTCCACTGATTTGGCTACATATGGTGTTTTGGTTGTTCTGTCTCACCAATTCGATTTGTTTATATGTCATTTTGATATGAATTCAAGCTCCATAAGATCTGAACTAATTAGGTTTTTTGATTGGTTCTTCATCTTAAAATTTTCTTTGTTGATGGATGATTATTTTGAATTATGGTGACATCTTTTGAAATGAAGTAATTAATTTTGCTTTCAGAAATTTAGTTTGTAAGATTTTCCCCCTAATAATTGGTGAGAACCTAATGAAGGAATGAAGTCCTCGATACTACAATTATCAAAAGAAGAAAAAAAAACTGTTGTAGTTTTAACGATGACTTCATTTTTATAGTTTTATTATTTTTTCTTAGTTAATGAAAAGGAATGTCTTGTCTTGACTTTATGTAACAGAGCCATGGCATCCCACATTGTTGGTTATCCTCGCATCGGTCCGAAGAGAGAACTTAAATTTGCCTTGGAGTCTTTCTGGGATGGGAAGAGCAGTGCTGATGACTTGCAGAAGGTGGCTGCTGATCTCAGGTCATCTATCTGGAAGCAGATGGCTGATGCTGGAATCAAGTTCATCCCTAGCAACACTTTTTCGTATTATGATCAAGTGCTCGACACTGCAACTATGCTCGGTGCTGTTCCTCCAAGATATGGATGGAATGGCGGTGAGATCGGATTTGACACCTACTTCTCCATGGCTAGAGGGAATGCTTCAGTTCCTGCTATGGAAATGACAAAGTGGTTTGACACCAACTAGTAAGTGAAAAACTATATGCATTTCGCAACCTTTTTATGGTAGTTATATTTGTAAGACTACTATTTGCTGATGATGTTAGGAATCTAAATGACACCCGTGTTTTATTACAGTCATTACATTGTTCCCGAGTTGAGTCCAGATGATAAATTCATTTATGCATCTCACAAAGCAGTAAACGAGTACAAGGAAGCAAAAGCTGTAAGTTTCTTATGCCTCTCTGTTTTTAACTTAAAAGGAAATGATATGCTGATTTTGGAAAATTGTGGTGGGTTCAAGTTGCATTTGGATAAGGCGTGTTGTTCGAGGAAGGATGTCACTGGATTGCTCTTGTATTTTTTCAGAAAAGAATTTCAGAGTCTTGTTAACCTATGAATAGTAGTATAAGTTGACTAAAATTTTTATTTTTATTTCTTATTTTAATGAAAAACCAAACGTTAAACATGAAAAG